GATACGCAGACATTTTGATTAGATACTCAGACAACTTCAATTGCAAAACGTATAGATTGATCAAATTTATCAGAACAGTGATGGAACTCATGACCGGATTTTGATTGTACATTTGCCAAATTCCTTGATTGTTTTACAAAATATGAATCTGCTATGGGAACTGTTATAACGTTCACCCTCTCACCTTCCAATTGCCTTCATTAAAGTGCACTCTGTAACTCGCTACGTAAGTCAACCATGCCTCAGATGCGTTAGGTGATGTGCAGTCATACAGTACTGAACGCCACTTGCGTTAAACGAACAACGATTACTGGGGTCATGCACTGTGGCTGAGTTCATGAGAACCCATCATGTATTGAGATTGATTAATGGCATGCGGTTCAATTTTGTCGAAGATGGAATAAGGAGCAACACTAGGTTAAAACACTTCAGGCTTCACAGTTTTATCTTGAGTGAAAATACACAACAGATATCTCAGGCATCAACAGATTAGAATGTGCAACGAGTGGTAGATGGCGGTGGAGCGAAGTTCATCCAAGTGTTTTTAACTTAAGCGTGCGAAATATCCCCCATCGGCGGTGGTCGAGTGGTAAGGTCATCAAAACAGCCACATGGAGGTTCAGGACTCGAACTCCGCCACCACAGACCATCTTCCTACTATCTGTATTTCACCAGGTGGCATTTGCATGACCGCTGTGCATTTCTATAATCAGTAACCAAACAGGAAGTAAAACATTTGTTTTGTTTATTATTTATACCGCAGCTGCCCGTGAAATATAATTTTACCAATCAATCGATAAGAAGCACTGGTGAGATATTATGAACCTAATATAATCTGCGATATCAGATGAACAAGTCCCTCCCTCGAAGAGAGGGGGTCTCTTCGAAAAAATGGGTCTCCACAAGATAATTATTTATGGGAGATTAGTTGCGGTATCCTCGAATTTTACTATTCTTTTAAAACGACACTTTTATGTTCAAAGAACAGCTTCAATCAACGGTCAACTGTTGACTGTCCGTCAGAGAACATAGTTCGTTCACGAAAATTCCACCTTGTTAGTTCACTTTTTGTAGGCATTACCACTCACTCAGCGCTGCGACAATAAATTATTCCTTAATATTTTTGCTTCCTCTTTTGTTTATTGAATATAAAAATGCACAATGAACGTTCAGGAAGAGGGCCACGACCATGCAAAGGCTGTCTGGGGAAATGCGGACGGGGAAAGATGGGTAATGGTAGCGGTAGCGGGATTCAATTTTCACAACTTCCAGGTCTCTATTTAAATGACCTCACTCAGTTGACCTCCACCACCGCCGCCCCAAACTGCTAGTAGCCAGCTAGTTCCAGCATATACTACGCCATACGTACTCAGATTTTTTTTATCATCAACATCTTTGGTTATGTTTGTCCAGAAACAGCAGCATTGAAGGCTTCTTTCCACCAATTTTCTAATTTGCATGGACCAAAGGACCCATGCGGATTGAAAGTGTGCTGTACGATACCAAACGAATAACTACTCATCGTCTGTATGAGTTTATAGAACTGATTGCCATGAGCACAAAAAGTGTTATATTTACACGGGAACCGCCTGGACATTCATTGCGTTCTGACTAACATAACCAGTAACACTTTGACTTGTTCGAGTACCAATTGTTATCAAAATTGACAATTTGCGTGTGCCAGTTTTAAGTGAGTAATCAGCTTCGATTTGGTGTGTATCCAATATGTGTGTGCGTGCGACTTGACCGACCCCGTTTTTGGATACTTTGTTTTTGTGGTGAACTGGAAACGAAGGTCACTCGACCGATCAATACCTTAACGTTTTTTGTTTTTAATCATCGATAGTTGAATAATAACAACAATAATAAAAGGCAAGTTGTTGATGTCGCCCATGGTGCAACGATTTTCGTCATATAAGTAGAAAAAAATGTTCACCCACATCATCCTGAATTCCGTGTGACACTGGAGATTCCCAGGATGTTTATCGCAATTCCGTCAACTGACATTTGTTGCATTGTGAAAAGCGGTCCCCGATGTTGACTCGGAAAAAGACATCAGTGGCTATTCACTCTCGTTACAACGAATCGGTTTACTTGGAGAATTGTAGTCACCCTCAATATTTTCGAGTGACTATAGATAGATTTTGCAGAGTTTGAAGTAGATATCATGTACAGTGTATCATTTTAGTTGAGCAATAATATCACTGTGAGGATGAAAATCTGCTAACGCAAACTATTTTTCACTGATTACATGTATATAATCACATATATCAAAAGATTCATCGTACGCACACGTCATGAGTAACTCAATAACATTGCCCCGAATCAACAGTAATTTCGTCGCTATTGACAATACCGTTCAGCCCGACAACAGCTGTCACAATACATTCCCGCTCGGTCCCGAATGTTGGCACAGGTCTCCCCACTCGGCATATGAACAGACGACTCGCTTGAGAGGAGACTAGGCGTGAAAGAAATGAGAGTCAAGTTATTCATTCAGTATCTTCTGTCCATCGATTATTTCGGTGACGAGAGCTGAGCTATGCATCACGTGACCGTTTTGACTTAAACTAACTCGAAGAGGTCCTAGTGGCATTGCACAAACGGGGAAATGGTTGAGTTCACACTCATTCATTCATGTGATTTTGCTAACTCGATGACTCATCAGGTAGGCATATGTTGCCAAACATCTATTCAGTGGGATCTATCATTCAGGATAAGACAGATAAAACTGTTTTGGAAAGTGGGAAGCAAATATAAAATATGAAATAGCAGGATTGGATACGGGGTATCAGAGGCGTTCAATCACAAAGGATAATAGATGGAAAATGGGTAAAATTTGGCACAGCGAGTGGTCACAGAGCGAATTGAGCTGTTCTCTTGCTCGGTCACAGTGATCCACAGGTTTGACATATGCCTACATTCTGCATTACAAAAGAGACGTTTTGAAAGGAACAGTGATTTGGCCGAAAATCAAATGTGTCTTGAGGGTCTGATACAAAAGAAATTGTGACTGATCGAGATGACGAGAATGGAAGTTCAAACCGACTCATTTGAACTTTAAGCCACATGGTCAACGAATTCACATTCATGTTACTTGTAATTGATTATTTAAAAGAGTCGAATCACATTTTACCTTGTAGATTACAATTCACCTATTGCAAACACATACTAGTGAAGAAGAATACCATTCGCTTCTTCCCCTCGATATCTTCAGATAAGAGCTGAACACGAAACAGGAAAAGCCTTGTAACGTGCCTCGGTTATCATCGGTTGAACTAAAAGTGTCCGTCAAAACACAGGGAATTGATGACATTTTGAAAGTACCCCACAAGTGACACACTGAAATGATTTTTGCCCCAGTGTGTCAAGCACAGACAGACAAAGCAGATCACGTGGGTCAATTGCACGACAATCAAAGGGTCATGAAATGCTTCATTAGTTTTATCAATTTTTAACTCTCACTGCTGATGCTGCCTTACTAAGTTGTTTTGATCTTACGTTGTTTCTGAAGCGTTTCCGTTATGAGTTACGCTTGCTGGGATAGATATTCCCACTCGTAATACGTGTTTGGCACACAAAGACTTCCGATGCCCGCGGATCTGGGATTTGGATCTGCGTCTATCAGTCAAAAGAGAACGACTAACGACCTCTAAATAACAAAAACGGACCAAACACAGCAGGCGAGTGGTGCTGAAAGCTAAAACATCTCAACCAGTACGTCACATTCGTTTTGTCACTATTTGAAATTTCGGCAGACACAAGCAATCTGGCTCGACTGAGTGGTTAATCGTGAGTAGCCATCAAACAAATAGAAAACCAGAATAGGAAACTAGTTCATCCCGTCAACTCTCGAAGCACTATCAACTGGAGTGTCTTTATCGCCAGAGGCTATCAGTAATTGGTATCCCCTCGATAGGGATCGAAAACCCATACACACTTTCCCTACTTCCTCGTCACAAGAAACGTGTGTGTTTGTGTGTTAATACTGTGTTAGTCAGCTCACAGGGGGACCGACCATCATCATCACTGATAGTGAGAACCTGATAGCAACAGAAGGTGACATCTACTAGTTTAACAATTTTATAAGTGAATTAATATGCATATCCGCAACGATTATTTAATCCCGGGGGAAACCTTTCGACTTTTTATTACACAACTCAGTGTGATGAATAGCAGACGGGGTGAACCCCATAGTCACGAGGAACTACTGTTCAGTGGTGGAAACCGGCAACCTTAGCCCCGGGACCTGGAGTGGTGAACCACATGATGCACCTCTAGGTCAGGAACCGGACGACAGCAAAGCTGCCTACCACCAAAGTCGGGTGGTGGTGACGGGGCTCAAATCTCGAACCATAGGGTCCAAAGCACGCCGGTGACAGTGAATAAACCACTGCACCACTACCATCACTAACAGGTTTAATCCTGTCTGTTTCGCTTGTAAGTTACCTCGTGCAATAGAAACACACACACACACGCCATTCGAATCCTGGACGAGCCGTTGGATGTAGATTACCGATAAGGTTTAACAAGAGTGATGCTCACAGGTCTGACGCTTTCTACAAGCGTGCAATTTACTGGCTAAACTGATGACTGTACTTGGAGATGGGATCTGAAGAATGATCAACGGTATGAATAGAACGTATACCGCACTACTACTCACAATTAACGCAGTCAAAAATAATGAAAAGTTGCTGGTGGATTCAGACAAGAATATTTTAGATGAGTTTGCGTGATCATATACGCATGTAAGCAAAATAAGGTCAGATCATCACTGTAGAAGAAAATCTTTTCCTTCCGTCTGGCTAAAATACAAAAGCCCCAAAACGATCTACAGCGTTAAGAAAGTATTTGCGGAATGGAAGCGGTCAGACAGCGAAGTACTTACAGTTAGCTGACTGAATACATATATGGCGTGGGTATTATTTTTACTGCTTATCTTTTGTTCACATTATGAGTGAAGCTTGCACGCCTCTTGACCCCTTATTTGCGGCATTCAGTGCAGGACCACTGGCTTGTATCACGACGAACTCGATGGAATGGAAACTTGACAGACAATGTGGATGTCTGTTTCAACGAAGTCCCCTGGTCTCTGATGCCTCCGTCGAGTAAATCGGGCAAACCGTACTGTACATTTGTTTTCGGTTCATGTCCGAAGCCATGTGAGTTTCTTTGCGGATTGGGTTTCTTTTTTTGAATTCACTCGTAAGACACTAATTTAAACGTACTATTGGCCTGTCGTTGAGCATGCAGTGGAAGCTGCCATACAAGTGTGAGTACCAAAACAAAATTCCATGCATGAAGCAGACCACCGAAGGCCAAATTATTGTCTATACACTCAGGAACGGAATAGCATATTTTCGAATTCGCATTCTTCCTAACTAAGGTATATGATGACATTCCGTGGTGTTGGGATGGTTTATTTATGCACTTAATTTATGATCACAGCATTTAAATCAATTATTCAGTATTTGCCATAAATTCGAATACTGAAATCAATCAATCAGATGATTAAATCGATGGGACGAACAGATCACGTGCACCCACAACCACAGGCCTAAATGCATCCTAAACCGTAAAACCCGAGTGAGTGCCACGCTGAACGAAACCGAACAACTCTCTCTCTCTCTCTCTCTCTGTGTGTGTGTGTGTGTTTCTGTGTTCGCCTTTCAATTGGGTCCATGAGCCCCAACAGGGACGAAAGTATTGTACAAATCCAAAGTCTTCAAAGTATGGGTAACTTGTTAAATGTGCATGAAGAATTGTAACCTGCATCAAATTCAAGCACTGACTTAATTGCAGTACAATTGGTTAAATTGATTTCTTTTAGTTGTCCTGCTACAGTATGAATTTATATCATGAATGCCTTAAGTGGTAGACTGTCGTACATCGCGATTGGGCACTTAGTCATCCAGTCGTGTTTCCGTAGCCAGAATCCACGCACCCGCTGAAGGCCTGTGCATTCCACGTCCAGTTTCACTGTCTTCGCTCATGTTCTAATTGCACATCAAACATACATTCTAGCAAGAATCACGGGAATTTCAGACCAAATGGCGTCCTCAGTACCAATCACCTTCGCTACTGGAGTGCCAACTCCACCTGTTTCCAAAGTCCACATTTAATTCTTATCTCGTCATTTCATTTGAATGATGTTTATGTGCGATCGAAATTGTTTTCTTCGTTTGCTTTCAAATCAGTCATCACTGCAGTGATTCACTGGTCTGTGAATCCCAGAGTTACCGCATAAATGACCTTAAACAACCCCTGGAAACCAATTGGAAATGTGGTGTGGCTCTTGAAACGTTTTGTTACAATTCTCACCGTCTCCTGGTGATAGTTCAAAGACTCCGTTGGATTTTGAGAACTCAGTGATTTCCTCTTCCAACACCCTCGCAAGACCTAAATTTTATACACGCTCTGGAAATCCCCAAGCAACCATCCATGTACATTAACATTATCAACGGAGAAGAGACTGCCAATCTGCTTCAATCCAGTGGGTGAAGCACTCGTGCAAACTGCTTATTATACGCTGAGACTGAAACCGAAATAAGGTTAATTTCTGGACAGCTGATAATTAGCACATAACGTGATTTTCGTCCAGTCGTTCCTATACTACTCATTATAAGAACACCTAACATGGACTCTGTCATCGTTTTAGCTGAGTTTGGTTGAATCTCACCCACTACAATTAACACAGAAGCATCTTAGTGATTCGTCCAGGCTTTTATCTCTTACAATCAACTCCCCGAGCTGCAAATGAGGTTTGCGTTGTCTAGTACATAACACTGTTAAGGTTCTTACTTTGTACGGTGGATATAAGATCATAAAAGTTGAATTTTTATGTTTTCAACTCGTTTCTTTTTGTGATTGTCTTATTCAATAAGGATGAAGTTCATCAAGAGATTATTCATGTTATAAATATCATTTTCATTGTTTTAATTATCCTCACATTGATTTCTCCCCACCACTCCTCTTCACGGTCCCCACCCGGACTCATTGCCTTGTGCTCCATAATCAGACTTTGAAACCGTCGGAAGCTCGATTTATTTTAATACCGTCCTCTGTTGCACCATGGGCAGTGGGAACGCGGACACGGTTGAGTACTCGAAGCGTCTACGATCCATGGTTACACTGGGCCATCCCACCCCACATGACATGGAAATGTTACGTGGTGTACTGGGCACTCGGGTGCTCGAGACCAACCCGGACTCATCCGGTCAGTCCACTTGTCCGGAGTTCGACGGTGTGCTTCTACGACGTCGTGTGACCGAGAGTGTGATTGCACCCTCGACCAGTCCCACTGTGCCCGTCCGATTGGCTCTATTGTTCAATGCCACCCACGTATCGGACAGTTTGTTCACCGCACAAACAGGCATTTGGATGCAAGACGGACTGGTGCATGTGATCTATTGTGAATATAATTCGAAGAAATTGGACGACTATGAGAGTGGGAAAAAGAGTGAGTGATGCAATAATCACGCAGGCTTCCGGTTCTAATCACATTATTTTAGAACTTTATCCTCATAAAACGTTCCTTGAAATACATCTTCTAGAATAGGAATTTTAATAGTGGGAACGTATCCATATGCCTCTAAAGGAAAGGTTTTCAAATATTAGACTCCAGGTCAACTGCTCCTGCGAGTCCAATTATATTTATATGGTTGGTTCAGTTATGCTGCTCGGCAGATTTAACCCTTGTATTTTGAAAAGTTCGGTGGCCTCAATGAGGTTTGAACGCACGTATGGAGGCCACCTACGTTCTCGAACAGCATGCGCTATACCAGCTGAGCTATAAGGTCGCACCACTGGCACTGATCTTTTCAAAATAAATGGTTTGCTTTGTCCTAGTGTCAATATTGGTAAATCCTGTAGAGACATGACCGTCACCTGTAAGAAGTAAAAAATGTATTTGTTTTGTGACAAGTTTGCTCTTGTATATGGTGTAGAAAAGTGAAAAAGTTTAGAAACGCTGCATACAGTTTCAACATGGAGGCACGGGAACAAGGTCACAGAGATTTAATATGTCCGAATATCAAGTGAAGATGTCATGTTGCTATGTAGATAATACGGGAGTGCTACTGCTTGGTCGTTTCACATTTGCCTTGTACAGTGCGATTGCTCCATCGTTTTCGGTCGTCTCGTCCCTCTCACCCGTGACCTTAAGCAAGTAACTTCCCTCTGACCCCTAATGCGATCGGATTGGATCATATTCCGCGATCTGCGGCACTTAAAATCTCTCACCCCAACACGGGACTGTCTGATTACCGGCTTGTGCGTTCAACGCAAAAAGAGCCAGTTGGAAAAAAATCAAGAAGAGTTCTGCGTGGGCCTACATTAGGGGATATTATCGTCCGTTATTAGGACGAGTTTAAAGTTTTATTATGATTATCTGTTTACCAGACCCGCTTCAAAAAATAATGCGTGTATCTTAGACGAGTCAAGCGTTGGCCAAGTGTCATAATCGCTTAAGCATTTTCCATTCAGAATTCCCCACATAGCGCACCGCTCCACAACTGATTCTCTTGGGATGATTCACTACCAACACAGGCTGCATGGGATTCAGAAGCTATCCTCCTCCTCCTGTGCCGGCCCGAAAAGCACACGACCGATCGGGTTCATTTATCGATCGGTCGAATGGTTCAGCCGTAACAAGGGACCTGGTGCTTGTCCAGCTAACCCGAGCGAGAAACCACAGCTGTAAGCTGTGAGTCTCAGGCAGGCCCAGTGAACTTCAACTGTGTAGCAGGGGTGCCATCCGTACTCGGATGAACTGGACGTAACAACAACAGCATTACAAAACGTACAAGTACAAGCCAATAATCAGACAGTCTCGTGTTGGGGTGAGAGATTTTAAGTGCCGCAGATCGCGGAATATGATCCAATCAGATCGCATTAGGGGTCAGAGGGAAGTTACTTGCTTAAGGTCACGGGTGAAAGGGACGAGACGACCGAAAACGATGGAGCAATCGCACTGTAATTCTTGTGATCTTTGTTGCCACGTTCAGTCCATCCGTTTGATGATAGGATGTCTGCTGCACAGCCGGAGTTCACTGAGTGTGCTAAATACCCGCGGTTGTAAACAAGGTGTGTCTTCTCGTTTGGATTAGCTAGGCAAGCGCCAGGTCCCGTGTTCCGGCTGAACCATTCGACCGATCGATAAATAAACCCGATCGGTTGTGTGATTTTTAGGCCGCCACAGGAGGAGGACAGGTTCCGAATCCGATGCCGTCTAAATATTCGTACAGAATCACTACAGGAGAATCAGTTATGGAACGATACGCCATGTGGGTAATTCAGAATGGAAAATGCTCAAGCGATGATGACATTGGGCCAACGTTTGACTCGTCTAAGATACACACACTATTTTCAGGTGCGGTAAACAGATAATGATAATAAAACTTTGAACTTGTGTTAAGCACGGACTACAACATCCAATAATATAGGCCAACGCACAACTCTTCTTGGAATTTTACCAACTGGCTTTTTTCGCGTTGAGCGATCTTACTATATTGGCGATAGATTTCCGGAGGAAAAAAAAATATTATGGAAAAATGCGGTGTTGAATATGTTTTCCATCCTGCTGCTTGCATGGCCAAATACGGAGAAGATAGACTTTTCAACCTTCAGAATAGCAGCAGTTGGAATACTTTCGTACTGCGCAACGATACTCCATTTGACCGATATATATATATATATAAGTGATGGTGGTGATGGTGGCACAGTGGTTAAATCGCTGTCACAGGCGTCCTTTGGACCCTATGGTCCAAGGTTCGAGCCCCACCACTGCCACCCAACTTTGGTATTAGGCAGCTCTGCTGTCGTCCGATTAAATACCACACCTAACCTATCGGGTTCACCTCTCTAAGTCCCGAGGTTTAGGTTGCCGGTTTCCATCAGCAGGTCCTCGTGACTGTAGGGTTTACCCCGTCAGCTGTCCATCACAGGAAAGTGTGTGATAAAAAACGTACTCTCTAGAACGAGATTACTATTTCTTTGACAGTTCGGTAATTCACTATGAGTTACTCAAAACCTTAGCCATTTCAGCTGGCACTCCTGTAACTGGAGTTGCAAGTGCTCTGACAATTTCTTCAGTTACATTTGAAAAACAAACTAAAGAGAATAAATTAACTCTTCTGTTTCGTTGCTCTCTTTCTCTCTTTCACACTCATTGCACAGTTTGGCCTTTTGTCGATTTCGCGATTCCCAAAGCTCTGAATGATTGTCCGTCCGGTTCAACTAAGGCAATCATTCGACATCACCAAGATCAATACGGATTTCACTATTCTCAGGTTAGTAACTTGGCGATCTGAGAGAATGGCCTGATCATGTTATTGATCAAATTACTCTCCGACACTTAGTTGAGTAGGTTAACATTGTATTTCCGCAGAGAAAATGTTTTTTCGCATGTATCCCTTTCAATAAATTTGTGCTTCAACCAATTTTTTAAGCATCGAATCACATCGGTCATTATTACGATCTGTAAGAAGTAAACATTAACTGACAATTAAAAAGAATTTGTTGGAGTTCGAACTGTGAACTCACGCCCCCCTCCCTTCTTCAGTTCCTAAAGAAAATTCTTTTAATTTAGTCTGGTCAACCCGGCAGAAATCCACAAACACGAGCAAATCATGAAATCATTTCCGTTTTGTTTTAAAGATTTTTTCGCTTGTTTTCAGGACTCGAACAAGTGCCAAAAAATCGATTAAATAACCATGAGTCACTTCGGTCTAAATTTGCCGTTTGAACATATCGCATAAGTAAGCGGTCCGTACCGCTCCACTGAATCAGTCAGACTGTTGGTTCTACTCCGAGATAACATAAATGAACAATACCGCTTGTAATAATAATGCTACCAGCGCAGTCGAGGGCCACTGCGCAGAAACCGGCCATTGAGTTGCTCACATAACAATTTCATAGTACCTTCGCGAGTCGATCGAAGCTTATACGAAACTGAAATCAGCAATATCTGAAGCTGTAGGATTTAGAATACTGAACCCATTGTTGTTTGCAAAGGAAAAACATGGTCAGTGCTCTCCAGCTGCTCCGGGACTCTAGTTGATTTACACCTCTCCCCCATCAGACCTTAGCCAAAATCCACAATTCTCTAGCCTCGAACGGTAGCCCTTTAGCCTCGATGCATAAACCACAATCAGTCTGAGCTTCGTAATGGTATAAAATGCTGCCCGGTCGAAACCGAATCTGGTGACCTCTCATCATGCGATAAACTGGTTGAAAATTACGACCGATCTTACCAACTCAAGGTTAACAGAACATGAGTCGCCTTTCGTATCTTGTCCGTTATAACCTTTCAGTTTTATCGGCCTACTAATTAACCAATCCAGCCTAATACCAGTTGCTCGATCCACTGATGTATCAATCTATTGTTTTCGTATATGCATGCATGTAAGAGTAAAAGTTCGGATACGAAAACTCCGAAAAACCGGCTTGTTAGGGAATAATTGAATTTCTGAATACTAAATGGGAGTACCGCCTGAAAAGTGTGTGAATTGTGCATCATCTCGATCCGGATAGCATCGCGACCACTGTACACGTTTCCACTCTACCTCTCTCGTGCGTGTGTCTGATCTTCATTTGTCTAGCCAATCCACTTGGATGGACTGTTTCTCCGTGGTGAGAAAGCCACCTGGCTGGAATACTGTGTTTTCAAAACGGACGCCTCCAGTACATCCACTTTCAATTACGGTATCCGAGATGAACTACCAGCTGGCCATTACTGTGTTCTCCGTGTACGAGGAAGTTGCCCGTCAGGTGAGCGAACGGTTTACCCATAACTTAATTACAATCAGAAAAGTATGAATTTGTTCAGAAGTGGATAATAAGTGACTAAAGGATGACTTTGTTTCAAAAAATGATCGTTTTGGTTGGGTCGATGGATTTATGCTGCTGACGAGACTCAACCAGGTACACTTGATTCTGTGCATAAAGAACGATCAATGGCCCCAATTAAACTGATTAATCACCTATTTCCTCCGAAATGACACACACATCATCATTTCTTAGTATCCAATAGGACGCGAGGAATCTAAACCAACAAAATAGTGACATTGCATTTAAGAGTACGATTTCTTCATCCTTTCACATCGTCTCGTCCATCTCACTAGTGACCCAAACAAGTAAATTCCCTTCGATCCTCTCCGCGATTCGATTGGATCATTTTACACGATTTGCGCAACTTGGAATCCATCAACCTGACAGCAGACTGTTTGATTACCCGTTCGGGATGTTTGTGATGCTCTTGTTATCCAGCCGCGTGATGATGACACTCCGGTTGTACACAGTCGAAGTCCACTTGGCATACTAAAACCTCGAGGCTGTGGACAAATTGTGTGTTCTCGCTCGAGTTAGCTAGGCAAGTGTCACATCTCTTGTTGCAGCTGAACCGTGAGACCAATCGATGAATGCACCTGATCAGTTGTGTGAAAATAGAGAATTCACGAAGACTAAGATTGCAAGAATAATGAGTAGTAGTGTCATAATTTCAGGTGGTCGAGGGTAGTTTATTGAGGATTACAGACCAGTAGTTTGGCATACATAGCACAGAAAATCTAATCAGAAACATATTGTCGCAGTTCTTGTTCACACGACGGGTAATGAATGTAGAAATCGATAGTTATTCTTTGAGACTCAGAAAATTGCCATCGGTGATCTTGTTGATTTTTGATCGTTGAAATAAATCACTACTCACATGTGAGTACTACCTAACAATAGTAGTAGTAGTAGTAATAATAACAGTAGCAGTGGCAGTTGGGTTATAATTCCAGAAGGCGATGCCTGCTCGAGGATAGTTGTTTATTGCAGATTGAATTTAGAATATCAATAATTTGGCATACATATAACAGACATCTCATTTGAAACATGTCATCACACTTCCTATCAGCACATAGGGTACTGAATGGAGCAGTCCGTAGTTATTTTTTGGGGCACAGCAATTCGCTTTTACCGTTAATGTTTGATCCTTGAAAGTAGACGCCAAAAGCATTATTTTGCGTGCTACTCACAATGCTGAGTAGTACCTCACAACAGTATTAGTAGTACTTATTAGAGAATCCCTATGAAAGAATCAGTTATTGAGCGATGCCCCATCTGGAAAATTCGGAATGGAAAAGTTTGGGCGATTACGACACTGTACCCACACTTGATTTTAAAATTGAGTCAAGTTATGCTTTATGCACCCAATCGAGTGTATTTCTAATGGCTTTGACAAATTAAAGCGAAAAAAACTCACCCTAAACACCGGAATTATTCCTCTAAGGTGGCCCGGAAATCGGTTAATCATATAACAAGGCTATTCACAGTGGAACCACCAGAGCAAGTGTTAAGACATTGAACCAAAG